CTGTTGTTCAGACACGCTAGCACCGATTGGCTGGTGACTGCTCTATGACCACGCACGGTGCACCATGGATGTGGACAGTGGGGCGGCCAAGACAAAGGAGTTCGGGCGTTTGTGTTGCTGTGGAAAGTGGGTGGAGCTAAAACTCACTCAGTTTCTTCACCTGGAAATGCAGATACAGGAGAGCGTGGCCAGATCATTGCCATAGTCTTCTGATGCCTTAATTTAACAATATTTTATGAGAATGAATTTGGTCCAAATTCTGAACCATCTCACTTACAGGCCCAGGATGCAAGGGTACACTCTAGTTAGTTGTTAAAATGCTGAAATATTTTTATATATTTCTGCAGCTGCAGTAAATAGCCCCTACCCTAACCCCACAAGTACCCACCTCCCCACCACCTGGACCAACCCATGATCTGACAATCAAAGAGTTAATGCCTAGCACAGCAAGGACCTCCAGGGCCCTGCTCCAGCAGAAAAGCAGGCTGATAGGGCAGTGCCCAGGACATGCCAAATACATCACAAATCAGCCCTGCCACTCTAAGGCGTCAGACTTCATCAACAGCAAAAGAAACCCCTGGCGTACACTTAGCACCATCTTAAACCTTTGTGATTCCAAGAGAAGATGAGCTTGTGTCCTAAGGTGACCCCCTCCCCAAGCCAAAATTTTGATCAACAACATGGCAGTTGGTAAAAAGTAAGGAGGGATCTGAGACAAAGCATCTTCAGTGTGTTTCTATGAGATCCGGTTAATATATTCATCTCCCGTAAAACGGGCATCCATTGGAATTCCTACACCTACCAACAGAGAGAGATCTCTAACATATGACAAGGAAATAACGCAATGCAAATCACTCAGAGTATAAGTTAACATACTTAAATTAAAACACACACAAAGTAATGCATTTTGTAAGTGTATTCATAGATATGCACGTGTGTATGTCTACATATGGATATATAAAGACATATGCATATATGTGTACATATACATATAGGTAGAAGGATAAAAATGAACTGGTTACCAGCCTTGGCCACTCATCCTTCATGTAGTAGAAGTGGCTGCTAATTTGGCAGTCTGGGAGGTGTGAGTTTATGTGGAAGACAGCCAGGAGGGGAGAGACAGCCAACAGAGACACAGAGACAGAGATACAGGGAAAGACGCTTCGGCAAGTGAACTGGAGGATGCTGAACTCAGGCTAGTGGCTGCCTATGGGGTCAGGGATGGGAAGAGGACTGACGGGCTTTAGTGTTGTCAGTCACATGTTATATCGCCCAAAAATGAAGCATTAGATGTAAATATAAGACAAAACAGTAAGTCGTTTATTCTAGGCAGAGGGAATATGGGTCTTCGTTATATTAATCTTTGTCTTTTTTATATTTTTTTTATTTCTCAGAAGGAATTAAAGCTCCTATTAGTAGGCCCTCCTTATCAACACACCTGGCCCTCAGATGTGGACGGGGAATTGTTTATGAGTTTTCCTCCTGATCATCACTCTAATTCCCACTGCCCAGACATCTCAGATTTCCCAATTAGCTCTAACTAGCCCATTGCTGATTTATAAGCAGTGCTTTATTATTATTAAAATTAAAGTCATTCATTTCTAAGTTCAACAAGCAATCGTCAAATGCTGTGTGATGCTTCAGGCGTACTGGGCCGAGGGATCTGTGGCTTCTGCCATAGGTTGCTCCTGGTCAAGTAGGACAGACGGATGGTCTATCAGCAAAGACATGACACTGTACTTGGACTAGAGCATAATAAAGGCATTTTACTAAATGTTGTGTAGGACAACAGAGGGCACGATTGAGTCTTGGAAGGGCAGCCCTTCCTAGAAGGCAATAAAAGGAGTGTATGAAGGTTTATATATAAAGAAAAGAAGGGAGAAATGGTTCCCATGGAGCCTTTTTATATGCCAGTCACACACAGATCTCAACAATCACAGCAACCCAGTGAGGGAGGTAGTAAGTATTATTGCCTTTCTGATGTTGATGAAACAGAGGCACTGAGAAGGTATGTAACGTCGCTGAAGTCAGTGAGCAATGCACTGGCATTGTAGATTCTCACCCAGATTTGAAAATTCAAAACTGAGACTGGGGTGGATGTGAAGACATGAGGCTTTCACTAGGTCAAAGGTGGGGCAACTCTGGTACCCAAGCCATCACTCTTTATCCAAGACTGTGCTGTTTGCTGGCAACAACATATCACAGGCGGCTTGAGGCATTTGCTTATGTCAAAGAAAAGAGTCAAACTCGGTAAAATATTTGAAGAGATTTATTCTGAGCCAAATATGAGTGACCAGTGGTCTGTGACAGAGTCCTCAGGAGATCCTGAGGACATCCGCCCAAGGTGGCTGGGCCACAACTTGATTTTATACAGTTTAAGGAGACGTAAGGCATCAACCAGTACATGTAAGATGTACATTAGTGCAGACCAGAAAGGCAGGACAACTGGAAGCAGGGGATTCCAAGTCATTGGCACGTTCAAAGATTTTCTGATTGGCAGTTGGCTGAAAGTTATTTTCAATAGGAAGGTTCAATAAGAGGTTATGGAGACCAAGGTTTTATGATGCAGATCAAGCCTCCAGGTAGCAGGCTTCAGAGAGAATAGATTGCAAATGTTTCTCGTCAGACTTCAAGTCTATTCTATCAAAATTCCAAAAGGAAGGAGAGTATAATAAGGCATGTATGGCTCCTTCCTCCCCATCACAGCCTGAACTAGTTTTTCAGGTTAACTTTGGGATGCCCTTGTTGAGAAGAGGGATGTGTTCAGATGGTTGGAGGGCTTAGAATTTTATTTTTGCTTTGCGCTTATTTATCGTAAAGTGAGACCTAAACATAATCTGACTTCATGAAGATCAAAGAGATTCAGGCTTAATTCTAAACAAGGCGAGTCTTAGATACACCATCTCATCTTGCTTATAACTCCAGTCTAGCTTCTTTAAGTTACCTGACTTTACAATAGAGGATATTTCACTTCCACCTATGCGGACACGTTCTCCTGGCCCAACCAGGGCCAAGAAAGGAGGCTCAGCCTGGGAGAGGGGAGCAGGGGCTGGGAGAAGCTCTGAGGACAGCTGAGGGGAGGCACCACCCTGGGTGCTGCCTAATCCATCCGACATGGGGACATGCCGTTCCAGAAACCAGATGACAATTAACAGGAAAAATCTGCTCTCACAGCACTGCCAAGCATGTCGCAGGGTCTCAGCTGGTGGTGTGCCTCCTCAGGGGAAGAGCAATAATGCCCCATTCTTCCCTTTGGTCAAGGCCCTGATGTTTTCTCAGGTGGAAGGAGGAAGAGCTAGGAAAGCTCCCCGCATGGTAGGAAAACTTTGTATAGGCAATAGTGCCAGTCTGCAAAACCAGGAGCCTAAGGATTATCCAAAGACTGAAGGCTATGAGCTCACTCAGTGGTTGCCTCATCTTCTAGACCTAGGAAGCCCTATTTGGCACGCTCTGAGTGTTCACAGATAAGATATCTCCAATCTAGGTGCCTAAGAGTGGTCTGATTTTGTCTGTCGCCTGGCTTCCAGTCAAACTTCCATCCTGTCTTTATAATTTGCCTGCATATGTCTTTCTCTTGGTCAAAATATCTCAAATGACTTAAGAAAAACTAGCTCGCTTCGCTGTGACTTGATCAGGTTCATCAAGAGCAGACAGTGCAGTGCAAAGGCAGAAACCTTCTGGAAACAGGGTACTCTGTACCCGTTTTCTGTTTGTTGTTGGTTTTTGAGGCAGGGTGTCACTTTGTTGCCCAGGGTCAAGTGCAGTGATGCAATCACAGCTCACTGCAGCCTTGACCTCCTTTGCTCAGTCAGTCTTCCCATCTCAGTCTCCTGAGTAGCTGGGACTACAGGGTTTTCTACCCTTCTAATCCTCTCTGGGTATCTCCCTATATATCAGTGTTCTGAATTTTCAAAGGTCACAGAGACTTCCAAGAAGATAGTAAAAGCTATCTCAGTAGCTCAGTAGCTCATGGACTAGCTCAGTTCCATGCTCAAACACTCCAACATTCACATACAACTCAGGGGATCACTGTCCCTATGAATGCCACTCATGTACTCTTCTTCAGTCCCTGAGCCCCACGGTCCCCACCACAGACACAAACTCATCCATAAAACCCACAGAAATTAATCTCTCTACGCATCCCATATTCTCACCAGATAACACCAACCTGATCCTAGCTCAGCAACCTGATAGCCTGTCAAACCTTCTATCGTCCCTCCCTACCCACCCCTACCCAACATCACCATACATGGAAACCCCAGCTGGGAGTGTATCTTGAAATTCAAGTTTGTTTTGGAACTGGTACCCAGCTTCCCTTGAGCCATTTGGTCACATTCGGCTCTGAGACCAGGCAGGTGGATGCTAATTCACCATGTTAACCCCTTTCAAGCCAGTCCCCTTAACTGAGCCTTGGCAAAGAGCCACATCCCACAACCCCACCCTGCCACAGTGGAGTGGAGCGCTGTATGCCGTGGAAGCCAGCCAGCCGATTTAGAAATCATGTTGCTCTTGGCATCTACTCTGGGACTCTGTGTCGAGCTACGTGCTGAGATCCTGTTGCATGGGCAGCTTTTCAATGCCAGAGTCTGCCACCCTACATCTTGCTGTGCTTATGCCTTCCCAACACAGCTTCAAAAACAAGAGGAAAACTGTGTCCTCAAACTAGGAGCCCCTTTGCCCACCAATAATAAAAAATACACCAAAGTCCCTTTTCATTTGCCCTCAAGCCCAACTTCCTTTCCAAATTATCTTCATTGCGTAAGCCCATCTAAGCAACGTGTACCAGCAGTCAAAGCAAAACCATGTGGATCCATGGTTTGGTTCCCACAGATCCCAACACTGCCTTCAATCCATAATTACCAAGAACAAGGGGCCAACAGGAGTTTCCACCAGTACCAGAGGCCCTCTCAGAGAGCAATCAGAGATTCAAACAGTACCTTTTGACCAAAAGCAGTAATGTTTCCCCCGTGACACCCTTGAAAATGAAACTCCCACCTTACCCTTCATTCCAAATTTGGACCGTCGACCATACTTGTTGATCATAATGAAGAGAACCACCAACAGGACACAGGCAAAAGCAGCAAGTCCAACTGCTATGGACACCTATGAGGAACCAGACAGTCAGCGACAGCCGTGGAAAACCCAAGTTCTTTGAAAATAATGTGTGTGCCCAGATGAGAACCAGTCCTACTGCCATAGCAAGTGTGCCCTTCTCAGAACTGCAATGCTGAGTAAGGTCTTTAGAAGAAGAAATTTGTGAGACCATAAGAACATTTAAAAATATATCGATTACCCAATTTGATGAGAGAAAGTTCCATAATTCAATGTGCTGAGCCCCTTCTCACCTGGGGCCATTCTAACAGATGCAAAAACAAGCCTAGAGAGGCTTCTAATTTTGTTTTAATTAGCAAGTGAATTCTGCATCTTCATGTTAAAATGCCTTATATAATATTATTATCCAGGAAAGTCTAAAGGATCTAGACTCTAAAAAAACATCCTTTCTCCTCTCCAGAGCAATCTGAGGCTCTGAAATTGTAAGAGTGGGTGCTTGAAAACCCCACCCATGGAGATGCCCTGAGGAACTTGGCCTTTCGTAGAAGGCTGGTACAGTTAGCAGCCCCTGCAAATCCAGCCCAGCTCGGCTCCTAACAGACTGGGGCTTTTCTGAACCCTAGGGCTTGGAGCAGATCCTCAAAGACTTCCTCCAACAATGAACTATTATCAGCAAATAAGAAAGGTTTAAACTGCCTGAATGCACTTCAATTCATCACTTTTTTTTTTTCAAAGTTTCAAGTAGGATGGTATTTGGAAAAGTCAGCAACACAAATGAAGTCTGAAAATGACTATCCCAGTCAACACACGCCTCTTGATCAAGACGTGACTCACCCCAAAAGTGTCTTCTTCTGGTTTGTGGGTCACAGTGATAGGAGGTGTGGGACTCACTTCGTCAACTGAAAACCAAACACAAAAAGGAGGAGGAAGGTTAGCTTCCTGGCCGGGGAGGCTCAGCCACAGTCCCCGCCCAACTCCCAAGCCCCCTTGATACTTCCTCATCGAGAACATCCTCTGGAAGCCAGGCTCTTGTAGTCTGCCTTCCCCAGGTTTTGCAGGAGCCCCCAAAGACCAGGCTCGTATCTGACCATCTGGCTGGAGTTACAGTTCAAGGACAGGCTCCACAGGAATAAAGGACATTCACTCCCATTCCTTACCCCCACCTCAGAGAAAATAACATAACCTGGGCAACTTGGGCCACGCGCTATAGAATGGAAAAAAGCAGCATGGATTGGGAACCTGGCCAGGGTTTGGATTAGGCAAACGTTACTGGTGGTGGCAGCTGCTGCTGACATTCTGCTATTCCTTGCCATAGGCATTCCTTTTCCTCTCCCTCCCTCTTCTGTGCCCTCCCTCTTCCCTTCTTTACCCCTTAGTGAGATCCAGGAGGCCTGGGGATCCATCAAACAGCCCACTATCCATTCCCCTAACACTGATTTCAGAACACAATGGCAGCTCAAGTTAAAAAACAGAACCATCTAACCAGGAAACACCACCTTTACCCGGCAAGCCAAGGAGGGGAAGCCAAGTATCAATTCTCCCCGCACTCTACCATCTAGAATTCACCTCCCTGATGAGAAATGGCTCCAATTCAGAATTCTCTGAAGGGACATTCTGCAAGATTACAAGTCCTCTAAGACCGAGGACAACTAGAGGAATCACAGATGATACTGACATCAGTGCCAAAAAGTCGAGGGTGTTTCTAAACAGCATCTACTATCTCAGGCCAGACACGAGGCAGAAATGGCAGCAGTTGCTGCTGTATTTCCACCTTCCATGGGGAAAAAAAGAAAGAGGAATAAACATAGGCTCCCTACAGTCCATAAACAAAACCCCAAATTCTTTTAGGATTGTCCAGCCCTAGCGCCAAATCACTTATAAACTGAGCCTCAATAATTCCACTTGAGGACACATGAGCCTATCAGGAAGCCTTGTAAATCAAGCTCGCACGGGGCGAGTCCTGGCCAAATGCTCAGGCTCTTGAAGCAGGTGAGAAACACTAGCAGGTTTACAGGTTCCATATTCTCTCTCCAAGGACAATTAAGATGATCAACAGGGGTCTGTCGAGGCACATGAAACCCCATGTCCACCCTCACAAAGCCCCTCTCTATCCAGGTAAAGAGATCCACAGCATCGTGAGACCTTAGAAAACTCCCTGGGGGAAAGTGAACCATAGAAAGATTACCCAAGAAAAGTGGGCTTGGACCTGCCCAAAAAGCATTGCTACTTTTCGGTTCTTTTTACACAGCTCACTGAGATCCCTTCAGCTGCCATGGGCCAGGGATGATGTGGAACAGGAGAGAGGGCTATTTAAATTCAATAGTTACCGATAGTATCAGAATAAATCACTTTCAAAGCAACAGGTAAAGCAGACTTACACAAGATAAAGTTATCCGTGCTCTCTGCAAAAAAAGGACAAAGAGATAATTAACAAATTTAATAAAAACCAGAACAGATACACTACATGGTCCTAATAGCTATGATCTCTCCCATTCACCATGATTTCCTGTTCCCATGGCAACTGACAGACCAAAATCCATGGCACATCACCCTCTCCCCACGCTAAGCTACCACTTTAGGGGGTGGTCCTCCAAATGGAGAAGGAATGAGGGAGAAAGTTCCTGGTTTCAAGGCAGGTGGCCCACCTAGGAACAAGAAACCAAACCGGTTCCGTGATGAGATGGGGAATTAAAACCAGACCCTTGGTTTCATTCACAGCTCTTCCATAGAGACCCAAAGTGCTGGGAATGGGGCCACAGGGTAGGCTCCCCTAGACATTCCTTGAAAATGCCAGGTATGATCTTAAGATAAAATTCTTCAAAGTAATATGCAGAATTGATTCTAGTAGGTCACTGAGAAATTCTTGGGAATCCCTCTAGAATTTGCCCGTCCTGCAGATGGTAATGTGTTATTTGATCTTTGGTCTCTAGAAATAGCTCACCTAATAATGAAAGCTAATCCTTGTCGCACATTGATTACGAGCCAGGGACAGTGCTAAATGCTTCATGTAACAGATCACTCAATCCTTATTACCGTTCTAAGAGGTGGTAACATTATCCCCGCTTAACAGATAAGGAAACAGGCTTTTATACAGATTAAGTCACTAATTGGATGCCACTCATTCAAGAAGAAACTGGAGCTGGATTCAAATCCTAGTCAAGTCTTTGCCTAGTCTACCAGAGATGCTCAAACTTTAGCATATAACAGAAGCACCCAGCGGGTGATTGCTACCAACCTCCAATAAAAGGGTGAGGATTCCTTGGATAAATGGATGATTTCAGGGCTGACCCAGGCAAAGTACAAGATGTGCCTGGGATGGCTTGCAATGCTAGAAAGAAAGCGCTCAGAGATTAATGGAGGACTGGAGACAGACATAGGAGCCAATGGGCAGGGGATTTCAAAGGCCAAATGTAGGCTCATTTAAGTAACAAAACGATGATAGTCCTGGATTCTTACGGATGGGATTTTATCCTCCCAAAATCCATGTATGGAAACTGTAACCCCTAGTATTTCAGAATGTGACTGTATTTGGAGAAAAGTTCTTTAAAGGTGTATTAAAGTTAAAATGAGGTCATTAGGGTAAGTCCTAATCAAATATGATTTATGTCATTATGAGAGAAAATTTCAAGGTAAACACACATGAACAGAGGGAAAATCACATGACCACACAAAGCGAAGACTGCCATCTACAAGCCAAGGAGACAGGCCTCAGAAGAAACCAACCCTGCTAACACCTTGATCTCAGACTTCCAGCCTCCAGAATCGTAAGGAAATGCGTTTTGGTTGTTTAAGCCACCCCATCTATGGTATTTCACCTCTATGACATTCCTAACAAACGAATATCCATAGAACAAAATAAATATCTGTTGAGTCCATACTGATACAAATAAATAAGTCAATAAATAAAAGGTGGAAGAATGGGACGCTCTTACAGGAGAATTCTGATTTTTAAACATAGAAGGAATGACAGAAGTAGAAAAATCTTCATTTCACAAATACTGCAGTAATTGTTTCAGTCAAGAATCATCAAAGAATGTTAAAATTAGAGTGTGAAAGGATGAGAAACAAGCTATTTATGTGGCTTTAAAATATTATACTGATGACTTACAAAGGGCAAAATCGTCTGTTTGCAGCAGAGAAAACTGGCAGACACCACCTTGACCAAGTGATAAAGTTAACACCTTCAGTACCAAAACCTATCGACATGACGCACCCCTGAAACAATGCACTGAAAGGGCAGAGCATCACTTCTGTAGAGTTCCTGCCAAAAATGCATAACTAGAATATAATCATTAGGAAAAAAAAAATCAGAAAAATCCAAATGGAAAGACTGTCTACAAAAAAACTAGTATTCTTAGAAAGGTCCAAGATCATGAAAGACAAAGACTGGGGAACTGTCCCAAATTTAAAGAGAGTGAGATGACACAGTAACTCAGTGCAGTGTGTAGTTCAGATGAATTGGATCCTAGACAAGGAAAAAGCATCAATGGGGCAACTGGTAAAATGTAATCCACGTCTGTACACTAGATAATAGTGATGAACCTACGTTAACCTCCTGGTTTTGATCATTGCATTGTGGTTAGGTAAGACGTTAACATCTGGGGAAGCTGGACAAAGGGTGCAAGTGCTTTGTACTGTTTTGTAACTTTTAAAAATATGAATTCCAAACTATTTCAAAATAAAAATCTTTTAAATCTTTAAAAATTAGTAAGAAACACAGATTATTAGTCCTCACCCTAGAGTTTCTAATTCAGTAGACCTGGGGTGTGTATCAAGATTTTGCATTTCTAACAAGTTTTCAGGAGAGGCTGATGCAGCTGTTCCCTTTGGGACGTACTATATCATACTGCACAGCCTTCTGACTTAGCCCACCATGCCCTGAAAAGTAAGAATGCATTCATTCATTCATTCACTCATTCATGCTTTGTGGCCCCTCACAGTCTTGGCTCTGTTAAGTATGAACCAGAAAATATTCTCTAACCACCTGTGGGGAACCAGATACTTTCTGTGAGGGAGTCCTTCAAAGAAAGTCTTAGTTGTGATAAATGCAATTTGTTTGCTTATCTGTTCTGTATTGTTTGGGAGGACAGCCACAAAGCTTTCTCCACATTCCTGGGCATACCCTTCATTCCAACAACCTCTTCTCAATGGCAGGTGACCAGATGCTTGACTGGGGCAGTGGGAGGATGGAGGAAATGGAAACCCTAGCCTGGGTTTCAGAGCCTGAGAGAAGAGAGGTGCCAGATTGATTCACATTTTACATAGATTTGCATATATCTCATAAGGCTCCCATTTATTAGAGAATATTCTCACGTTAGCCAAATGTTTTGGCCAAGTTTATGAATCCTGTACTCTCCAAATCAGCCTATGAATGTTTAAGGCCTTTGCCAGAGCCTGGAATCATTTATATATCCAGAAAGCACATACACTTTGGAAAGAGACATCATGGCTCCTCTCCGAACTCTGGGAGGGCCTCAGGCATTCAGCCTCAAAGAGGATGGTACCTAGGACTGGTCCTCACCTCTGACCCACCAGCACATCAGGGCACAATCTGAACATAAAGTATGGCCATGCCATGAAGAGAATGCACACATATCCTATGGTCCCAGACCAAAACTCTTCAAGAAGGGCCCTTCTGTAAATTAATCTTACGCTTTAAGGGAAAAGGAGGAAGGTGAAGCAATTTGCCTGACATCTCGGAGCTGACAAGTGATTGAGTGAGAATTAGAGTCCTGGCAATGTGGTCCAATGACCACTAGACTACCTTAAGACTATCTGTTAGAACTTCCTAGCTTGACCAAAGAATGACTACTGATTCTAGAACTCTTGAATTCATCTCAGCTCTACATCCTAAGAATCTTAACAGTGGCCCACAGCCAGCAAGCCTTTTCTTTGTCCAGACACGCTGCTAAGCATTTGGTATTCTCATCCATTTCGCAGATACGTAAATAGAGGCACAGAGAAGTGACTGTCCTTCATCTAGTGCTGACCTTGCACTAAACCCCATGATATGAGCCCAGGCCACCAGACGGGAGGGCCATCTGGGAGGGGCCACAGATGGGATCTTCACCTACGTCTGTCTGATTTCAGGGCGCCTGTTCTTAACCTCCATGCTTAGCTGCCTGGAGGCGAAAGAGAAGCACACATGATGATCATGAGGCCTCCACACTCTCACATCAAAAGAGCAAGAATCACAGACCAGCTTTACGTCTACACAGACCAGCTTTTTACGTCTACACAGACCAGCTGTACGTCTACACAGAACAGCTTTTTACGTCTATGCTTAGCTGGGGTGAGTTTGGTATAGAGCGTTAAGATGCATCTCTGCCTACTCCCCCAGATAACTGACTCTCCTGAACGTTTAAGCATCTTGCCACTTGGCGCGACTGGCCCATCTTTTCCCTGTCACTGCCTTTTCATCACCCATTGGTTCCTTTAATCTGAAGACTCGTAACAAGCAAACCTTCCCACAGGGTGGCCCTAGCAGGGTGGAGATGGGTCTGAGGAAATGACCTTAGGTGAGGTGCTTTCTCTTTGAGCTTCTCTGTGACTCGATCCTCCCTCCCTCCTCCTGGGGACAGATTCCCACCCAATTCCAAGGTAGGAGATTGCAAAGGAGGGAGTGCCAGACTCACCGTGGGGGCCTGTTAAAACATAGCTGCTAGACCCTACCCTAGAATCTCTGATTCAGTAGAGGTGAGTGGAGCCTGAGAACTTGAGTTTTAACACATTCTCAGGTGATGCGGATGCAGCTGGTCCATGGACCACACTTTTGAGAACCAGTGGCCTGAATGAGGAGCACTGATAACTGACTAGGGTGACAAGGGTACCCAGAGACTACCATCAGAAGGGGCTGCTGCATCTTGTGGGGGCACAGGAGGTATGTCGAGATACCTCCGAGGGCTGAGAGGATGCAAAGAACTGATTCCTCCTGAGATAAGGGAGAGAACGGGGAAGCTGTGTCCACCACATCATCCGACTGCTGCTACCACCCCGCACCTCTCAGGACACCTTCTGGCAGAAGGAGCCCAGAGTGGCTCCTCCTCCCTCCTGAACATTCTAGGGTCTCCCCCTCTCTGGCGTCCAGAAGCTTCCCTTTGGAAACAGAAACACTGTTTCAGAGTGCTTCATTCCCTCGCCAATATATAGACTTTCCTCTTTAAAAAAAAGAATTTATTCTCTAATCACCGCAGAGGCAAGGCAAAGGTTCAGTCTTTTATGTCAACAAGACCTAGCCTGACCTTGTACACCTTAAGGGCAAAGTACTTGTGCTCAAAAAGCCTCTGTTTCCACCGTGCAGGCCAGGACTTGTCTACCTGCTGAAAGAGAGCCCAGTGTCCGACATAGGTGACAGGGCGATGGCTGCAGCAAACCACCTTGCCACGTATGTACCTATGCAACAATCCTACATGATCTGCACATGTACCCCAGAACCTAAAGTACAATAAAAGAGAGAGAGAGAGAGAGAGAGAGAGAGAGAGAGAGAGAGAGAGAGCCCAGTGTGGCCCAGGAGGGGAAGTGTCCTGGGGACTTTTACTGAGCATACTGGGGATGAGGTTGCAAGTTTCAGACCACAGGGGATTTCCAGGGCCTCAAACATCTGCACATTCTCAACCTCTCAGAAAAGATGGCTCCATCATTCCAGGACCTCAATGGCAAGAATTTAGCTTCACATACAGCCACATTTATCCAACTTCACTCTTGAGGCCTCCAGTTCGAGTTCCCTTGCACTGAAATAAATAAGGCCTCCCGGAGCTGCCACTCTGGTTATTTGTTGTAGACCGTGAAGTTGACTTCATAAAAACAGATGCTGCATCCTGCTAGCTCCTGCTGCCTCTTCCCTTGTGTGTGTGTGTGTGTGTGTGTGTGTGTGTGTGTGTGTGAGCATGCATGTGTGCCTGTGTTGTATCACTTTATACACTGTATCCCATTAGAACTTCTCATTCCTAGGAATTGAAGACAAGAGGTCTCCTACTCACTTCCCAAAACAAAGCACCAAGCTCAGCAAAGACACATGGCTTCATGGACAAAATGTATCACTTGTGGAACCCACCAAAAGATGCTACAATCACTTTCACTAAACTCTCTTGTTGTTTTTTTTCTCCTCCAACTTCAGGAAGATATGTAAAGCATCTTACCCTAGACAGAGAAAGACAGCGTCACCTCCCAAAATCAAAATCAAGCAAAGTTCTTCAGTAATTTCCGTAATTTTTCCTAGCCCACTTGACATTAGCACGATCATAAGCTGAGGGCATCAGGTACGCCCCCTAGCAGCTCAGCATGGAACAAGAGAGGAATGAAGTCCCGGACCTGGGGGCCTAGATCCAAGTCAAGCCTTGAAACAGATCAGCAAGGAGAATGAGGCCCAGGTCACTCATCTGTTAAATGTAGGGTTAAACTGGACACACTCTCAAGTCCTTTGCAATGGAAAGTCACGGAACCATCATCAGGCGTCAAACTCTGTGACATGCATTATATACCTTGGCTCATTTAAAAGTCATAGGAGCCGTATAATGATGACTATTTCATAGAAGAGGAAATTGATGCTTAGGAAAGCAAACTATCAGGCCCGGCGACTCCCCACAATTACAGGGCTGGGTGAGAATTCCCTACCATTACAGTCTCTGCTTTCTCTGCTTTCACACAGTATGTCCTAACATGCACAACTGTTATTTCTAAGGGGTCTTGGTTTTTACCATAACAGCTATTGGAAAATGGAGATCTGTCCTTTTTACAGCAGATGCAGACAGTGGCTACACGTGTTCCAGTGTGTGTTTGGCTGCCCATGACAAGCATGAGCACTGGGGCTGCTTCTCCCCTCAAGCTACCATGCCCCACGTCCTAAGCTTGTACAAAGAATCCATATACCCCCGAGCCAGCTACACCACCCTTACCTGGAAAGGGCTCCTTGAGGAAGTGGCCATTGATGGTCTGGTTGGCCGTGCCCAGTGGGTTTTTGGCAATGAGGGTGTAGTTGCCATTGTTGTAGTGGGTGGGCTTGTTGAAGAGCAGACAGCCCTCGGAAATCTCTCCCTCCTGGTAGTATTCCACATGGATGATCTTGGACTCCCGCAGAGGCTGCCCGTTGTGCAGCCAATGCAGCGTCGGCGGCGGGTTACCACGCACCACGAACTCAATGCAGTGCTCCAGGCGCAGCTCAGGCTCCTCCAGGCTCACCACACGCGGGGGGTCTGTCAAGAAAGAAGCCAGCTCAATTCCAGGAAACAGAGTCTCCCGCCTCCCACGGTAGCCTTCCAGCAACCAAAGTGGGGAACTCAGTTCTTCCCCACCCACTCTGAAAAGGCTGAGGGAAGCAGAGGCCCCACCACTACCCCAGCAGAGGGGAAGAGATGTCTTCATTCCAAGCTTCCTAGATCCACCTTAACTGGAGGGCTCCCTCTTGGGATCTCTTAGGGGTTTAATAAAAGACAGAATAGGCCAACGTAGACGTGTCCTGCAGATGTGGTTGAGTTGGAGCCACACCATCTTCTGAGGGACAAGGGTGCTCTTTCCGGGGTTTTTACTCCAAGGACACCTGTCAGTCCTTCCCTACAAGAGTCCTTCTGCCCCTACGGGTAGACCAGCCCACTGCTCTAGCTCAGCCCTGGCAACACGTTGACCCCTCTCCAGCCTCCTGTACCAGTTCCCCTCACACACAGCCATCCCCCACAATAACATGCACTTACAGTAGACAGTGAGGGCGACACTGGCATTGCTCATGCCCACCACGTTCTCTGCAATACATGTCAGGGTGAAGCCATTGTCCTCACTCGTCACATTCACCAGCGTCAAGTTGATGGCATGAACATTGGTCCAGTTCAGATTGGTCTGAAAACCCAATAAAAGTAAAACAATCACTCAAACAGCCTCTACAAGGATGGCTCCACTATCTAGTCCACAGATACCTTTAGGAATCAAAAGGAAAGCTAAGCAGAAGGTGGAGGAGATCTTTGTGTGAAAGCACACCGACCAAATGCCAGGCTCCTCACAGGAAATAGTTCAGGTCATCCTCCTATTAACCCTATGTGAACAGCAGTTCAGTACTATGCCCATTTTACAGAAGAGAAAACTAAGTGACAGAGAAGTTGAGTGGCATGTGCAAGAGCAAAATGGGTAGAAAATACCGCAGCTGCAGGTAACCCGAGTCTATGTGTTTCTTCCTATAGTAACAAGACCACGAATTTTCCCTCTTGTTCAAGACTACAGTGCGATCACTCCTGAGCCTCCTGATGGGGCCCAAGCCCAGGATGCCTACCTGGTGAGTGTTGATGGACTGCAGCCCAGTGACTATCCAGTCCACATCAGGAAGGGGTGATCCAGAGCCATTGCAAGTGATGACAGCATTGTCACCCTCTCGTACGGTCAGGTTGACGTGGCTCACGCTGATCTCAGGAAGGTCTGGGAGCCAGACAAAGTGGGTGAAAAGACAGGCAAACACTTACGACCCAAAGGAAGCTCTGTCCATGGGGTTGACGGTGGAACTTCTTGCCTTGCCCAGTAACGACTCTAACACAACCTGCTGGAGCTCTTGGAAGACCCACAAATCCAAGATGCTTTACATCACCTCCCCAGCAGACATCAGAACTCAGAATTGAAGCCTAGGCAGTAGCGCTCTCCCACCCTGCGGCGGGGGGTGGGGGCGGGGTGGGCAGTACTCAAGGAATGCATTTCTGGTAATTATGCTCAATGGCAACATTACACTTTGGGCTCTGGTTATCCAAATGTTTCAGACTCCAGTTGGAGAACTCGCTCAAAATTCAGATTTCTGGGACCCATCCCCAGACATTCTCAAAGTCTGTGGTTGGGCCCAGAAATCTGCTTTTCTGGAAACTCCTAAGAAGCTGCTGCCACAGGGAGTCCAGACACCACATTTTGAGATACACTCCTCTAATTCTGGTTGACAGGTAACTCACAGAGAGAAAGGGAATCTGATGTGATGGGGAGGAGTACACTGAACCCCTGTCTGCATTCCTGAAACCAGTCTTTCTATGGCTGATGCGCAAAGGGACAGGAATGACCAAGAAGGGAAATGGTGAGTCAGGAGGCCTGCACCCAACTGCAGAGTTCGAGGCTGGAAGGGCATTTTGAAAGGAAGCCTATGGCATCCCAAGGTAACATCTCTGGTGTCTGAGTGATGCCTCCCTGGAGCCAGCTGGGCCGAGCGGCCACTCACTCACCACACTGACTGATGTTCATGCGGAAGAGAGGAAGCTGGGAGCCATCAGCGTTAATGCAGTAGAGGTTCTGGCTGTTCAGCCTGGCCTCTCCCTGCTCCTGCCAGAGCTGCATCCAGCGGATGTCACAGCTGCAGTTGAAAAAGTTCTGCTCCAACCTCCTGTGGGCAAAGAGGGGAAGGGAACCTCTGAACGGAAGCTGGCCCAGGACCCTCCCAGGGCCATGAGGACAATGGGGACCCTCCCTGTTCAGGCATTAAGGGGAGGAGGGATTTAACAAGGTTGTGAAAGAAGTGGAAAAATCCTTAAGTTGTAGTTTGAAAACAATAAACTCATTTAAAAAAAAATAAAAGAAATTCACCGCACTTAATGCACCTAAGAGATCCTTTTAAAGAAGTATCCACTTGAGATGCCCCTCTTGGCAAAACCTTCCAATGGCCGTCCGTCTCAGTGAAAATCGAAGTCAAAGCCTTAAATAATCTGCACCATTCTCCGTCAAATCTCTGACCTCATCTTCCCTCACCCCCTCTCCTCCTCTTCAGCCACACTGACCTTGGTGTCTGCCAGTTCACCTGCTTGACTGGGTTATTCCTACCCCAGGACCTTTGCACTTGTTGTTGAAACTACTGCCAAGTTCTCACCCAACATACCTGCCAGGCTGGCTCTGTCTAACACTGCCCAGTCCCTTGCCGTGCTATATTTGTCTTTCTAGAATTTATCACCACTGGCATCACTTTAAATATTTATTTTTAATTAGTTTGTTTATCTGTCTCCCTGAATAAAAATTAAGCTCCATTGGGGTCAGCGACATTACCTGTTTTGTTCATTCCGTAACTTAGAACTGAGTCTGGCATATAAATTCTTGTTAAAGGACAGAGCGAGAGACTGACTGACTCTCCCTGGGAGAGTAGGTAGGTAGCTATTTCCAAGATATTCTCAAAGCCTATCCTGGGACCAGCTTTATTCTTTCATAAATTCAGTAAATTCTTAATAAGTACCTGCTCCTTAATTGGCCATGGGCTGAGTGCTGCTGACACAGAGATGACGAAGACAGTCCCTGTCCTCCAGGGGCACTCAGCCTGGTGAAGAAGAATGTTTGATGGGGGAAGAGTCACCTTCAAGGACCTCCTTCTCCACTGATTTTCCTTGTGACTTAAAGTAAGTCACCTCTCCTCTCAATGGCATTATTAAGGAGACGATGAACAGCATTAATCAATCCAAAACTCAGAGTAAAGAGAAGCGGATACATCCGAATGCCTGGATCATTAGACGAAACATGATACTCTTTCTGGACCATCGGGGAGATGAATCTGTTAGAACCCAGTGGGAGGGGCCCTTGGGTAAACTGCACTAAGACATGGGATAGTTTTGACAAGTGGCAAACTCCGAAATACTTAAGCATGCAACAAAATTAATCAGCTTTCAGGAAAACATGAGGCTCCTGGTGGAAGGAATCAGTGCTTTCCAGTTACTAGGGCACCAGAGGCAGAATGTGCAAATACCCCTACACGGTACCATCCTTTTAGCGTAAAAGGACTCTCTCCACACGATACTGTCAGAAGGGTGAAGGAAAGGAACGAACCCTTACTGAGCATTTGCTTCTTACCACAACCCTGGGAGATGGCCAGGGCTGCAGGGAGGGAGGGGCCCTCTCCGATGTTTGGAGGGGTTACGTCACATGCACAAGGTCCTTCAGCTGGTATGCAGCACAGCACAGCTTGAAACCTCCATGTGCTGGACCCCAAACCAACCTCTGTGTGCTACACTTGCCACCCCGTCTGTCATGTGCTGGCATTCTGGGAGCATGGGAGAAGTAAAGAGGAGCCAGCTAGGAGACCTGACCTCAGGAGCTCATGTAGGCAAAGAGCAGGCTGTGGGGTGGCGGGGGTGGGGTGCGGGGGTGGGGGTGAGGAGGAGGAGGTAACAAAGGCAAAGGGAAGCTGTAGGTGAGGTGTGACGACAGAAAAGAAAGGCTTAGCAGGACAGAGAATGTGTTGAGGAGCACTGGGAAACAAGGCGGGAAGAGTGAGTGGAAGCCAGGCAGCGGAGGACTTTCACTGCCGCATTAGGAAATTTGGAACTCATTCAGAAGACAGGGGAAAACCATTGAGGCCTCTATAAATGGAGAACAATGAGGACAAAGAAGGTCTGTAAAAAGAGAAATCCAACAGGAATGTACAGGATAAGCTGGGGAGGAGGAAGACTAGACACCTAGAAGCCAGCTAGGACGGGTTAGAAGCACAGGGCTGCCATGTACAGTTGTGCGGTTTGAGCATTTCTCAAAGTACTCAACCAAAGAGATAAACAGAGGCTAAAACCCAGTCTGCACCCGCGTGGCCAGACCCAGTGCAACCCTGACACCGGCTACGTGCACCCAGACAGGCATCTCTTCTAATTCACACGTAGGCACCACACTGACTGGCAGGGGCCGGGTCAAGGTTCTCAAACTTATGGTTTCAGAACCCATTTTCTCAAAAAAAAAATTCCCTACAAAGGACACAAACTGCCATGTGTGCACCTATGCAACAATCTTGCATGTTCTTCACATGTACCCCAAAACCTAAAATGCAATAAAATAAACGAAAAAAAAAGAAAAAAAAATTCCCGAGGGCCTCAAAGAGCCCTTGTTTATGTCAGACCTATCACTATTTACCAGATTAGAAATTAAAACACAGAAAGATGTGATGCTCCCCTGTAGGGGGGAAATAGGGGAGGGACAGCAGGGGGTGGGGAGTTAGGGAGAGAGAGCTTGGGGAGAAATGCCAGATGTAAGTGAAGGGGAGGAAGGCAGCAAACCACACTGCCACGTGTGTACCTATGCAACAATCTTGCATGTTCTTCATAGGTACCCCAAAACCTAAAATGCAGTTAAAAAAAAAAAGATGTACGGCTCCAGGATACACGAGCACCAACTCTATCCGTCTTCAGAGCAATGATGTCATCACATCGTGTGGCCTCTGGAAAACTAGCATATGCTCATGAGAGAATGAGAGTGAAAACGGCTAATAATGGCTTAGTGTTACCATGAAAATAGATTTCACTTAGTGTGGCGATTCCTCACGGACCTATAAATAGAAATTCCATTTGACCCAGCAATCCCATTACTGGGTATATATCCAAAGGATTACAAATCGTTCTACTATAAGGACACGTGCACACGAATGTTCATTGCAGCACTGTTTACAATAGCAAAGACCTGGAACCAACCCAAATGCCCATCGACGATAGACTGGACAGGGAAAATGTGGCACATATACACCATGGAATATTATGCAGCCATCAAAAACGATGAGTTTGGGTCCTTTGTAGGGACATGGATGAACCTGGAAACCATCATTCTCAGCAAACTGACAGAAGAGCAGAAGATCAAACACCGCATGTTCTCACTCATAGGCGGGTGTTGAACAATGAGAACACATGGACACAGGGAGGGGAGCACTACACACTGGGGTCTGTTGGGGGGAAATAGGAGAGGGACGGTGGGGGGTGGGGAGTTGGGGAGAGATGCCAGATGTAGGTGATGGGGAGGAAGGCAGCAAATCACACTGCCACATGTGTACCTATGCAACAATCTTGCATGTTCTTCGCATGTACCCCAAAACCTAAAATGCAGTAAAATAAATAAATGGGAAAAAAAAAGGTCTTAGGGCCCCCAGGGCACCCTGGGCCACCACTTGAGAACTGCCACCTAGTTAACATGGCCCCTAGAGTGGAGTGGTAAAAACTAGAGAGAGGGAAGAGAAGACCCAGTAGGCATCACAAGGAAGGCAAGATGGCATGTGGTACTTTGCAGGGGGTAAAAGAAGAGGAAGAAGAGAAGGAGGACTCCAAGATTTTAAGCTCCAAGAAACAGGAAATCAATGGCAGGGAGAACTGTCTTTGGCTGAAACCAGAAGACGAGGAACCCGTGGAAAGGGAGAGAGGACACATTAGGAATGAGGTTGGTAGAAGGGTGAGGCTGGGGAGACAGAGATCAAGGTCCCAGCAGGGGAAAGGGAAGGATAAGGTCGAGAAGCCTCGGAGGTGTTGCCTTGGGGTTATGTCAAGATGCCTGTGCGGCCAGACATGAGACAGAGAAAGGCAAAAAGGCAGACGAGAAAAGGAGAGGGAAGTAACAGACATTATAGGATCATAACATTAGCATCGCACGTGCTGTAGGGCCAACACTAGACTGCATGCCCTCCACGTGTAACTTCACTTAACCCTCATGACAAGGAGAGCACAAAGTCAGCTGAGCTGCCCAGGGTGGGCGGGAAACAGAGGCCGGAGGAGGCGGAGCGGTGTGGGCTGCAAGGAGAGGCCTGGCCGCCTGCTGGCATGACAACGAGGGTCCAGATGCTTGAATATATGCTAACTGAACCAGGTCAGCCTGGTTTTTCCCAGCTGCTCACTTGCCAAGATGCAGGCATTCATTATTAAGTAGGTGTAAAAATACAAATTATCCACCTGGGTGGAAAAGACTAGACAGGCAAGGGGCTTGGCTGTGTCGCTGCAAGCCACACAGCGCTTGATGGGGGGCGGCCGCCTGTCGGGTCCCTGCACTGCTGCACATCCCCGCGTCTCGTGGCCCCCCAAAGGCAGACAGCATCAGAATGTCCTGAGGCTGGCAGGGCAATGAGGGGAGATGTGTGGGCTATGCCAAGGATGCTGCCAGGCACAGGCTTTGTACAAACGTTCTGCTTCCTTCCATCCTTCCTCCCACAGGGCCCTGCTCACAGGACCTGGCCGGCAGCTGGGTTGCACCATGAAACCTGGTCCTTTGTTCCAACTGAGTTTCTGGGAAACGGCAAAAGAACTGCGGGTTGCTTCCCCATCCCTCTGGACTTTGCTCCTGGAGAGCAGGACACACACACAGCAGAAAGCATTTTGAGCCTTGAAACAATGGCACCCTAGACAGCCCGCCGGGCAAATCCACAGTCGTCTTTATATCTGGACGAGAGAGGGTTCAAATGGTGAGGTGGGCAAGAAGCAAAGGCCGGCACATCCTAAGTCTAAATGATGCTGTCCGTCCTGTGTCCCTCCTCCCATTCAGCCAGATCTCAAGCAGGGGAGACTTTGGCCAGGGCTTTGGGGGCAGTCCTGTGGAACCTAAAGCATGGCTTTCCACGCTTCATGAATAATGCAGGCCGCCCCATGAATAATACAGCAGCAGCTCCTGCTG